TGGTTACCCAAAATTATTGGGTTATGTCTCTAGTCATGACGGTCTATTCTCAGAGTGGATCACTCATCCAAGGAGCTTTCTAACAACGATGTTATTGTAATTATTATTTAACTTTCATACACTGTACGAATTCCGATTTTCTGATTGGCTGATTTGTACCACGTGATACTAGGTTGCGACGAGACAACCACCTTGACGTCATTACCGTGGTGTAATAGCCGTGTTGTAAATTCACCACTGTCATTACACCATGGCTTCTGCTGACTCAAATATAGTGGTTTCAGTGCAGTGTTTCTTTGTGCAGTGTATTCAATTTGAATAATAAAAATGTTAACGCACTCATTGCTCGTGAGTAATCGAGATTTACCTGTTCTCACTCACTAACAATGAAGTAGAAATTTTCAATACCGCACTCGGCAAAGCCTCGTGCAAAGCCTCGTGCAGTATTGAAATTTCTCGTTCATTGTTAGTGAACTCGTGGAGGTAAATCCCGATAATTCACTCGCTGAGTGCGTTAACCTGTAATTAATTAGAAAATAGCTCAAGGAAATTGATTGGTTAATATAGAGATTTAGCCAAGCGCAAAAGCGGAGCTCCTGGACCGCTCTGTTCAAAACCCGATTAAGCTAACCCAGGTATAAGCGATAATTTTGATTTTTTGTAACTTAGCGGTAAGGTTTTCTGTTTATATTTTTGGTCTTCTGTTTTGATTTTGAATAATTCCAAGCCCTGACCCTAAAGCAGTGAAAAACACTTGTATAGACGATAAATTTATACCTCGGTTAACTTTTCATCCTGGGTTAGCGTTAACCCGATTTCCAAACAACCCGGCCCTAATTACATGTTTTGACAGGCATCAATTGATCATAACGCGGATGACAAATATCAAATAAAGACGTACGCTGTAAACCAAAACTTAGTATTAGCTGGAGTGTGGCCGCCATGTTGCGCGAGGTCGTCATCGTCGTTGCCCGCACGCGCTAGCGATCCATGCCGCTAGCCCTGTTGACCATGAAAAAAGAGTTGCATGGGGTTTTTGCATGCATGAGGTTCTGTTCCAATAGTTATGGTGTTCTCCTTGGAAGGGCCGCTGGAGCTTCGCTAATATAGCCGCCATCTTGAAACGAGGTCTAACATCTCAGGTCTAACAACGTTTTTTCTAGTACCCTGCTAGTTTTTGTCTTTACATCAGGAGAGTCTACTATCGCCTGGAACTTTATCTCTCGATATTAGAATCCCACCTCTTTTACGAATTGAAAAGAGGATGATGTCAAACAAGAGCCTTGTAAGTCTAATATGGCCGCTCTCTTGAAAGGAAGTGCAATTTTTGTGGTCTAATAACTTTTTGTGTTGTAGCTTGGTAGTTTTTGTGTCGATATCAAGAAATAAAACTTCCACGTTACACTTCGTCTCTCGATGGTAGAATCCCATCTCTTCAACTGGTGAAACAGAGAATAATGTCAAACATCGGCAGTGTTAGTCTAACATGGCCGCCATCTTCAAACGAAGTCCAGCATCTCGGGTCTATTAACGTTTTTCTTAGTACCTCGCTAGTTTGTCTTTACATCAAGACAGTCTACTGTCGCAGGAATTTCATCTCTCGATATTAGAATCCCATATCTTTCACGGGTTAAAAAGAAGATCACGTCAAACAAGGCCATGTTAGTCTCATATGGCCGCCATCTTAAAAAGAAGTGCAACTATTCTGGTCTTATAACTTTTTATTTAGAAGCTTGGTAGTCTTTGTCTGCATATCAAGATATAAATGTGTCACTTAACACTTCATCTCGCGATGGTAGGATCCCATCTGTTCAACAGGTGAAAACGAGAATGATGTCAAACAACAGCCATGTAAGTCTAATATGGCCGCCATCTTGAAGAGAAGTGTAACGTTTCTGGTGTAATAACGTTTTTCCGAGTACTTTGTTAGTTTTTTTTCTTTACATCACGACAATCAACTCTCGCCTGGAAATTTTACTCCTTATATTAGAAACTTATATGTTTTACGGGTTGAAGAGAGGATGATGTCAAACAACAGTCATGCGAGTCTAACATGACCGCCATCTTGCAACAAAGTGTAACGCTTCTGGTCTAATAACGTTTTATGTATACGTCTACCAATTTCTATCTTCTAATTCTAATTTTAAAACAACATCAAATCTTCAAAATTTCCTATTTCCATAAATTTTACTAATCCTTTGAGAAAAACTATTTATCACCAAATATACCCAAAAATAACCAAAAAATTTACAAAACAGCCCAAAACAGCCCAAAACGTAGCTATGTGAAAAGAGCAGAGAGATTTTTCACCGCTTGAGACGTGAACGAGATATTTGCATTCAAACCATAATACATAGCAAAAATATGACCTTCATGTTAACCCCCGCCTTAAAACCTCATCCCTCGATGTTAGAATTCCATTTCTTTAACGGGTGGAAATGAGTATGATGTGAAACATCGACCATGCTAGTCTAACATGGCCGCCATCTTGAAACGAAGTCCAGCATCTGAGGTCTAAAGTCATTTTTCTTAGAACCTTGCTAATCTTTGTCTCTACATCTAGACAGTCTACTTTCGCCTGTAACTTTATCTCTTGAAATTAAAATTCCATCTCTTGAACGGGTTGAAAAGTGGATGAAGTCCAAACAACAACCGATGTTTGACATTATCCTCTTTTCCATGTTCATCTAATATGGCTGTCATCATGAAGGGAAACCCAACATCTCAGGTCTAATAACGTTTTTCTTAGTATTTTTGTAGTTTTTGTCTTTACGTTAAGACAGTCAACTGTTGTCTGGAAATTCATCCCTCGATACTAGAATTCCATCTCTTTCACGGGTTGAAAAGAGGATGAAGTCCACAGAACGGCCATGTTGGTGTAATATGGCCGCCATCTTAAAATTTTCTGGTTTAATAACTCTTTATGTAGTTAGCTTGGTAGTTTTTGTGTAGATATCAAGATAATATATAGATTTAGTTTTAATGATCTTAAACTACAAACGAAGCTCATGACCAAAAAGCAGAGAAAAAACATTTTTATGGAAGAAAAATTATACTTCGGTTAACCTTTAATCCTGGGTAAACATTAACCACCTTCGGAACAACCTGACCCTGATTGTCGCCCTAATTATAACAAATAAACCAGACATGAGCCCACGATCCTATCAAAAGCCAGTACATAGTCAGCGGTCATTTAAAAAAAAACACAGGACCTGGATGAGCTCTTAACTTAACCCCGCGATATGCTCACCTGATACTGGTCAGCGGATAGCTTGCTTTGACAGGTGTCAATTGACCATAACATGGATGTCCAATATTAAAGACACATGCTGTAAACCAAGACTGCATTACTTTGTATTAGCTAGATGGCCGTTTGCGACGTCGTCGTCGTCGTTGGGCGCACGCGCCGCGATCCATGCCGCTAGCCAGGTTGACCATGAAAAAAGAGTTGCATCGGTTTCTAATTCTATGCATGCACGTGGTTCTGTTCCTATAGTTATGGTGCTCCGCCCATGGTGGGCTATAGCCATGGTTCCTATAGCTATGGTTCTCGGCCCTTCGGGCCGCCGGAGTTCCGCTAAAAGTCATGTTGTTGTTTAACAATTCGAGCTCGAGATTTCTACCGATAGCTGTCGAGGACGCACCCTGAGTCAACTTCCACACATAGAAATCGAAAGCAAATAAAATTGTTTTAGTATAAATCTACTAGTCGTTCAAAAACGTTATCTAAATCCTCCTCAAAGTCACCTCGAGATCGCAAAGAAGAGGCCGTCATTTTTTTAACAACCGCACATCACGCAGCAAATCAGAGAACGGCATTTGTGACAAAAAGCTTGTAGATTTAGACTAAAACTCGATAGAAACACGGTGCTTGTTTTCTGTTTCTTAAACATTACTCTTCTTTGAAGTGTAGCAGCAAGCAAAGTTACTCGCGTATACCTGCTTTCTGTTAGACCTCACAATTTGTCCCAAATTGTCGTTTTTTATTCCGTCTTGTTTGCAGAGAGTAACATATATTTTAATTTTAATATTAGTTTACTCTCATTATATTTCATTTAAAATGTGGGCCGCCCTCGGTTCAGTGCTGCAGTTCTGTTTCCTTCAATTCAATATTCACAGACGGTAAGACAATATTTAAACACACGATGGCTTAATTTCGTTGTTCTATAGATAGGTTTGAGTACAGATCAAGCTGCGATTGACAACTTGTGTCAAAAATGAAATAATCACTTTAATTATCCAATGGCTACTAGTCGAACTGATATAATTAAGAAAAAATGAACAGTTCTTTTCAAGTGCATGTTATGAAAAGAGGCTCTTATTTTGCTTAATAACTTGAAGTTTTAAAGAGGCTAGACTCCAAGTTTTTATACTTCTCCAATACTCTCGAGCCTGAAAGCAACCTAGAAAAGACTAGATGTTGATGCCTACGGATGGATAATGCTATTGATGATAAAAAAAAAAACAAAGAAAAAAAAAAACACTTTATTGTTCACAAACTGCGTTTCATTGATAACTAGGCAATTTTCAATGAGCTGGCAATGATTGAGTTTATTCATTAATCATAAGAAAAACAATATGTATTGGCAATCCAAAGTGGGTGTAAAAGCCCGGTAAAAGGTTTTACGCACGCATAAAAAATCAAAACTATGTCTAGGGGAAANAAAAAAAAAAAAAAAAAAAAGGCAAAAAAATGGAAATTATATTATTTCCTTTTTCGAACTGTTTATTATCGTTTTATTCCAGGTTTTTACTTTTTAATAATACGGGGCAAGAAAAGAAGAACGAGTTTGGTTGACTGGTACATCATTAGAATTGTCCTTACTGTAGGTTTTGTGCTTACATGCTTACAATATCTTCAGACAACCTCTTGAGGTGTTAAATTAGAAACAAATCTGCCTCTACCAAGGGAAATTTCGTGGTCCCGCTTAGTGCAAAAAGTGAAATAAACGAATAAACACGTATTGGCCATTAACTGTCACATTGTGCAAAATTGGAACTTTAAATTTTCCCTCTTTTTAAGAGAAGGCAAAAAACGTAATTTTTAACAAAATCATTCCTAAAACTTCGGACTGAATTGTTCTTAAGTCATTCCGGACTGAATACAAAAGGAATCGATATATCAAAATGGCAATTGAGTTTAATTAAGTGTTACACAGGGTATAGGAAAGCATCATGTAGTGCCGCTTGAAAATCAATTCAGCAACACGTCTTAAAAGAAAAGGTCGAAAAAACCGGTGAAATTGAAGGCAGAAGTTCTTCCGACCACTCTTTGTTCTTGGCTGTCAACTTGATGGTGCTCACTCGAAAACTCTTAATCAAGAAACTTGTATAGGAAATGTCTCACCTGCTAGCGAACAAAATATTATCAAAGTTCTTTGAGCATCAACACGCTTGCAGTAAGAAAGAGCCAGTGAACCAGAATGGCGAACTTTGGTGTAACCGAAAACACAATCGAGCTTAGCGAAGCAAGCAAACCGTCAATACCAACAGGGATAGCTGTACTTCTTTCAACCTTGAACATTTTTCTGTCAATAACTGCATCACTGGGCAATGCTCTGATCCTTGTTGCTCTTCATAAAGAGACTTCCCTTCATCCTCCAACAAAACTTTTGTTCCGATGTCTGGCGATCACTGATCTTTGTGTTGGAGTTATAACGCATCCACTCTTCGCCGTTTTCCTTTTTTCTTCTGTAACAACTGAAATGAACTGGAAAGTTATTTTCTACGCAGAAATGCTATGTACCGCTTCAAGCTTTGTTTTGTGTCAAGTATCGATCTTCACATCCAGCGCAATAAGCGTGGACAGACTTCAAGCCCTGTTATCTGGACTGAGGTACAGACAAGTTGTAACATTACCAAGAGTCCGTGCAGTTGTCACTTGCTTTTGGTTGATTGGTATATCAATTGGATCGATATACTTTTGGAGTTACAGTATTGCCTTTTATGTAGGCTTTTCATTTACAATATTTTCTCTAGCAACCTCTGTCTTCTCCTACTCGACGATTTATTTCAAGCTTCGACAACATCGGCCTCAAGTGTCCCCATTAACACAAGGACAACCAAACGGAAGAGAACTTCCACTGAATATTGCACGATACAAGAACTCAGTTTCTAGCGCAATATGGGTGCAGGTAGCATTACTTACTTGTTATGTACCGCTTTCAGTTGTGATAATGCTCGTCGTATATGGCCAAATACCTGGAAGCCGAAGTGAAACTGCTCTCTACGTTACAGGAACTTTTGTCTACCTAAATTCGTCTCTAAACCCGATTCTCTATTGCTGGAGGATCAGAAGTGTACGACAAGCAGCCAAAGACACGATCAAACAATTGAACTGCTGTAAGTCAGCCTAGAACTTGGGGCACAGTGAAGTGGATTCAGTGAAGAACGACTTCAAAAACTTAGGCTCTGGTGATTAGCACAGACAGAGCCCTGTCTTTCAGGGTGTCCTAAGGAGAGCATTTTAAAAGCAGATGTACTTATGATTAGCGCAAAACTTATTCAAGTATGTATGTATATATGTATGTATGAGCTTATTCATGAATCACAAGAGAAAGTCATAAGTCCGTCTTAAACTAGTTATGAAACACTGCAATTACGTTATGATTTTCCTGTAATATGCTGAGTTGTGAAGTCTTTCTACGGGTGATTTAAATTAATTATGAAGCTTGAGGGCAGTTACAGATCAGTCAACAACACCGCAAACAAGAAAAGTTATATAGCTACTAGATTTGCATGTTTTGATGATTCAGTGATAATAGAGTTTTTGGAAACTTCCATCTCTTACTACTCAGTTCTAGTTTTAACTCTCAAATTTGAAAGCATTTTCCTCCTTCTGCATGGGAATGCCCAAGATGTTTTTTGATTTTTAATTATTTTTTTGTGTGTGGACACAGACTTAATGTAAACCTTTGAAATACCGGTTAAGTTATTTCATTAACAATTTCGTGACCCATGAAAATAAATAAAGTAGCTTCTGCTCACATCAGTGACATAATTTTGTACTCGCGATAAGCATCTCTTTTATTTGTGTGGTGGGAGAAAACTCCCTCGTAACTCTGGATATCATCTGCAAATGAAGATATGAAATAGACCCAGGGAAGGCATAAGAGCCATGCTACTGTATGTGTGTGCTAGTAATGAGGTTCTCAGGCAAAATGGTCATTCATCCAGACAACTAACTTGGGCAAACCTGAGTCCACAGAACCTTCACAACATTGAATCAAATGCTCTCTATGCCTGGCCTGCCTCGTGTCACTTGTTTAGTGCAAAGAAATCCACTGCCAAACCAAACAAGTGTAATGCAAGCGTAACGCTAGATCAAGTAGACAGGATACATGTTCACGTCAGTTAATTATACGAATAAAATTCGATCTGCCTCGATCTGGCTTGGCTCGACTCGACCCTTAGTGACAATTAATTTTGTGATTTACACCTGTTTGCTTACTCTCGAAAATGTGCATCATATGATAGTTTGTGATCCCTAGAGTTTTCTTACATGTACGTTAGCATGGCACTTAGTTTTCTGGGACTTCAGTATTAACAATCCGTTAACAAAAGTCGCTAGATTCTACTTTTGGACCTGTACACATTAGCATGTATATTTTTATGCCAGATCCATAGTGAGCTACATCGTCTCAAGGGGGCCCATCCAGCCTTGGCAAAGGTGCTAAACCTCGGAAATTCACACGAAGGAAGACCTATGCTAGGCATAAAGGTGATGATAAATGTTCTCTTCGATTGCTGGTAAATAATTAGGAAACTGTAATTTAATATTCAACTTTTCAATTTTCGCTGTAAATCCGCCAACACGTTCCGTAATCATAATTATTAATCTACGAGCCTTAATCTTCGTCACTGACCCATTAGGTGGAAAATCCTCTGCAAACTAATTAGCCCAAGGACTATTATGGATTTCATGATTGACGAACGTTGCCATAGAATTTTATTTTCTTTTTCGTTTTGCAGATAAAACGAGGAAGAAGTAACACGAAGGGCTTGATTTTCCTAAATTTCGGAATTCATGCTAGAGAATGGATCAGCCCCGCAACGGGCATGTACCTAATACGTCAGGTAAGTTTTTGTTTAGGTTATAGTACAATCAGTGCTACAATGTTATGTACGCAGTTTGTATCATTATTATACAAAACTTGATTTTCAGAAGCTCTGATCATGAATTACACCTGGGTGTAAGAAACTCTACAAAAGTGAAACATACCCAGATAAAGTAGGACGAGAAGTAAATCGATGCAGATAACGGTTGTTTATCAGGAATGATTGTAACTTCATTAACCTGGTTAAGTTGGACCAACATTTTTAAGTTAGGTGAACCCTAGTTATCCTCGGATTTTGTTCGTTTGTGATCCGGAGGAGGAGGGGGGCGGGGGTTCAATCTTTGTGGTCTCTTGTTTCGCCAACAATATTCATTCAGTCAAGACCAATCAATACTGCACATGGTGAGTAAAACATCCAAACTTGTTTAAATTAGTCACGTGTCGATAACGGCGTCACAAGAGGTCACAATAGGGAGCTTACGAATCGACGACTTTCGGACGACGGCGCCGTTGGGTCACCTTATAGTCTCGCGTCGTCGTCCTGTAGAAATTTGAATTTACGAT